GTGTGACGCGGTCGGGTGCAAGGGGCTGTTTGGAAAGAGCACTGGTGCGTAGCATATTCGACGTTTTCTTGAAAGCTCGTGCGCTGAGCGACTGTACGTGGTCATTGCAAACAGTTGGGCCGAGCGCGATACGTGTATGTTGGTGTTTCCGGTATTAGTTTGCCAGCCTCCGTCTGATGGATTTGTAAGTGACCAGTCAGGCTGATGCACAATATGTATGTGTGGTGGCAGTACGGACAGAGAAGGTTGGGAGATATGGAGGCCGTTGCAGTGGCGAAGCTACTATTGGTAGACGCGTTGCAGGATGATGAATTTGTATTCCGGGAGTAATTAATAATAAGTTAATTAATTAATCAATTAATTACTTAGTTAATTAACAGGTGACTTGCTCTTAGTGTGTCTTTAGCGATTTTCGCTTTCGTATATGCGCATGTAAACGAATAGACCTACGCGTTCCTATTCCTGGTAATCAATACCAAACCTATTCATTGAAAACTTACGTTACTTTTTTTTCTGTGACTTATCTTTTCTTTAAATATTTTTTTTTACTTCATGAAAGGTCTGTCTTAGTATCCTTGGGACTTGGTCAGGACCCGAGTGGACACCGGCCCACAGCCTCTCCTCCGTCTTAATCTCTATACAGTCAGTCATGAATCAAGAACCATATTACAATGAACCGGGATTTACAACTGAACGTTGCCCTGGTGACTCTAAGCGTTACAATGACATTATCAAACACGAGACCTTGCGTTGTGCTGTCTGCGATGTCTTGGAACGAAAATCCTACATTCCTGATGATCTTTACGCGGTTGCTCAAGCAGCTTTTGAAGATTATTATCCACAGTACCAGAGCACATGTGAAGCGAATTTAAGCTTATCTGGCCAGCCGATGAGAGATCCATTTGGCGAGCCACGTGGGACCTTTCAGTACAACAACATTCTGCAACGCCTTCATGCTTTAAAGGCCGCATTAGATAAATAAGTTACGCTGTCTAAAGGTCTTTCGTCTCTGGTCTTGCTTTTATCTCCCCTGAATTTCCGGTCCTTGCGCCATGGATGTCTGCATGCGCTGACTTCCTGTGTCATTACTACAGCTAGCTGTACCGCTTTATGGACAACATTGTTCATTTGGACTTGCCGTTCCTACGTGCATGCCCTCCGCCCATAGCAAAGTGGGCATCCTATTTCTGTGCAGCGTTTTTCTTGTTGACTGCGATTCTTTACTCTATTTCCACCCTATAGTCGGTCTAGAAAACTAATCAATGCTTTAATCATTCACAGTTTTTGTGAACTTTTTACTGAATACTTTTGTATCCACCTGCCTAGATTTCACCCAGGCGAAGATGTCATGTGGCAGTAGATATTATCGCGACTACTCTTTATTCTGTAATCATTTTGCATGAACTTGCTCAGTACTTTAAAATGCTTAATGTTTGCGTTCCAAAACGACTCGTCTTCTCTCCAAGGCCTAACCCTTCTTCCAAAAAACAGATGATCGAAGGCATTCATCATGCGCTGTTGTAGAAGACTGGACGGTTTTCGGTGACAGTGGCGCAACGATTAACTGGTTGTGCTGAGTTATAACAAGGGAGAACTCTTAAAACCAATCACTCATCAAACGTGGGCGTCTGCGTGTGCGAAGTCTAAACAAGAATCAACTGGAAGTAGGGTGCTCCCCGACCCGGCTGAGGTGTATGTTCGTCCCACCGTGCTTTGGAACTCAATCTATAGCTGTTTATCTCAGGCAGTCGCATAGCAACTTGTACGATATAGTGGGGTAGGACCGACAAAAACAAGGGGACCGAAATGATCGTTTCTGATTTATCAGGCATCATCAGACAATCATACCCCGTCCCAGGTGTCGATCACCCGCGATTCGGGCCCTATACTTTGACCCTAGCCTGCACCACCTGCTTCTGTCGCTTGCGAGTGAACTCTTGATTGAGCTTCAAGGCACAGTGGGGCGTGTTATAACGGATGCCCAGGCCGAAATATTGCCACCCAATGACGTCCCGTGTGAGTCCCCAAAGAGAGAACGCGACAAGAAGGGTGCAACGGCAGAAGTC